TCTCCTTTCTTTCGGCCTTCATGTTTTGAAGGTTTCTTCTTATAATCTTGAAACATTAGTTTTTTTAAATCATACTGAAGTTGAAGCTCACACAGAAATCTCTAAATCAACATGATTTTCTGCGCAGAATTTCGCTCCCTTATTTTTTGCCTTGGAATGATGTAAAATTATAACATTTTCAGTTTACTGATCACAGCAATGGGTCACATAAAATTGACGGACTTTGGATTGTCGAAAATTGGGTTGATGAATCGGACCACGCTAGTGGCAGAGGGTTTTGAAAACGCCGTCGATACGCACCAGTTCAAAGACAAGCAGTTGTGTGGCACACCTGAGTAAGCTTTATTACTGACTGAAAATTTTTACTGTCTTGATTCTTCCAAAAATTCTACGAGCATTGAGAATGTTTGATTTAGATACATTGCCCCCGAAGTGATCCTTCGCCAGGGTTACGGCAAACCTGTGGACTGGTGGGCTCTAGGTGTCATTCTGTACGAATTCCTTGTTGGATGTGTGCCTTTCTTCGGTGATACACCTGAAGACCTTTTCTCGAAGGTGATATCAGGTAATTGTTTGAAATAGCCCTCATCGTATTTGTCTTCTATTTCTGCGGTTTTCAGAAGAAGTTGAATATCCCGACGGTGAGGAAGCTTTGCCTGCCGAAGCTGAGGACCTGATAAGACGGCTATTGGAGAAAAATCCTGTTGAACGTCTTGGTAAGTGTATTGACAGCCGTCTGCCTCTAAGGGTAATTCTACTAACTGTGAGGTTGTAGGAGCGCTGGTTGGTGCAACCCAGCTGATGGTACATCCATTCTTCGCCAACCTGGATTTCAATACTCTGCTTCGACAGAAGGCCGAATTTGTACCACAGCTGGAACATGACGAGGACACTAGCTACTTTGACAGTAAGTTTCTTTCAGTGAAAAATTGAGTTTGGGCCAATTCTGTATTTTGTAGCCCGATCGGATCGTTACAATCACGATGCTGAGTCTTGTGGTGAAGAAGATGCGATAGCGGTAGCGGCAGCCTCTCCTATGTTCCATTCGTTCTCAACAGCCAGTCCACGACATTCGCTTGTCAACGTGGAACCCCCAACCTCCCTCCAGGTAGAGC